CATAGGTGGGCGGGGAGAAGTTGGATTTAAAGAGACAGTCTCAAAACGAGTTGATCTGAGAGACACCCCTCCACAAAGAGGTGAAAGAGGGGCTTGCAGAGTCACAACAAGGAGGGATTCAGACCAAAAGCATTGCAGTTCCACTTTACATAGACCCCAACTGAATGATTTAAATATGAAAAAGAAGGATTTAAAAGCAGGATATGTCTACTTTAAGCTAAAGTTTTACACTTGATTGCATCACTGCTCAAAAACCTTTTGAATTTAGATTCTGGAACAATTTTTAAACCTTTTTATCTCATTAATATTTCAGATCCAAAAAAGGATTTGTAAAATTGACTGTTTTTTTAACTGTATCTGAGACCTGGAAAAAGCCACGTTTTCATTTTCTTGTTTGTCTAATTTTATTTAACAAGGATTCTTTTTTGATCTCTTTTTGTTGCTCTCTGGATCAGTGGTTCCAAGTTGGGCTCAGGACCCCACTGTGGACCATGAGCAACCAAAGAGGCAGTCCTGAGAAGTTCAAATGTATTTATTTACTCCATTTATAAATGATTACTGAAAGCAGCCCTAACTGCTATAAAAAAGACTGAATGAATTAATATAATAATATGACTTATTGAAAGTAGATGAAAAGTTAGAGAGCCGTTGCTTTAAACCAGATAAAATCAAATTTGGAGTTTTATTGATGGAGCTACAAAATAATATTTAACAGAAAGCCCATTGTGGTCATTATTAGAAATAAATTTTGTGTATTTAAAACCATTGTCTGTTTATCATCAAACATCTTTTTACAGAGTTTAAATCACTAAATGCAATGTGAAAGACTTTCCCAGTTTCCCTGAGAGGTCAAATAAAAAGACAAATCTGAGCACAGGGGAGACGCTCCTCATCTGTGTCGCTGATGTCTCCRGCTCATAAAGCACATCACCTCCTTCTCTCCCAGCTGCTGACAGGGTTTTAGAAAGATGTGCCATGTGTCACGCTGCAATTTCCTGCTTCTCGGCGTCACAAAGAGGCTCATCAACTGCACTTTTGTTGTATTTGTCTCCTTTCTTGTGTGCCAAGCGAGCTCATCATCCAGTGACCTATTTATTCCAGTCCATAAATAATTTTAGTTGGAAATAGGAAGCCACGGGCGATGAGGAGGAACGCTGCATTTCTTTTTTCTGCAAAATGTTCTCTCCGCCTGGTYTCCTTTTGTCCTCTTCTCCATAATCAGAAAGGGAGAATGATCCCTCCCAAAAATAGTTCCAACTCAGAAGCGTTATTGCTTCTTCTTGTGTTTACTTTGCATGTGCATGAACTTCTATCAGAGGACATTACTCAGAGGACTCCACACTTATATAAACTTAGCATAAAAAAGTACATAAATGTGTGTTTAGTAAAATATGTTTTTGTTGTAACAATGCTTAAATCTTATACCGCTGAAAAGTTCATTTCTCTTTTAAATGGTGCCACATTTGTAAGGAACACACATTTGTACATGCAACTGCTATCGTATCATGACAGTCTTTGTGATATAGAGACACACTTTATAATCATCCAAACAAATTAATGCTGTTTTGTGAAAAAGATAGAGATTTACTCCCCCAGGTGCTGCTAATCAGGTTTATTGCCAAGAAGCATTGTTACAACAAAGAAATAATCCACCAAGCACTAATTACTTTACATTTTATGTTAAACACATAAACATATATTTTCTTTAAACTGTTTATTTGCATGTGTRTAATGTGAACAACAAAATTCTACACACCTCTGGAAGAAAATAAAAAGAAATCCAAACAGAAGTGCCCTTTTTTTCTTGCTACTGTCRCCCAGTAGAAGGCGCTCCAATCCCACCACTAATATTTAATAATCTTTAGAAACCAAAAGACTTTGATTCTGTCTGAGACAGTTTGTCCTCTGCTGTCTCAGCCTCAGCTCGCTGTCTGAATCAGTTTTACTGTTCAGGTTTTGGCTCGGTTGGTTATTACAGGTCACAGAAAGGTCAAAGCTCTCACACACAGTTAGGAGGTGACGGTGAAAAAGGTCAGTGTTGGTTGTAGATGAGGGAGACCTTTAGTCAGTGTTGGAAAAAAAACACACGAAAAAAAATGAGACGTCTGTTTAACATGAGGGTGGATGATTCTGAGTAAAATGAAATCTTCAAAGCAAAGCTCATATGCATAAAAACACATASTTAAAATGTTTAAGTACATAATTGATTGAAGATATTAATAGTTTTTGTCCTGTTATTGTCTTTGTGAATTAACTTTCATCCCCTCAGCTTTCATCTGTCGGTGTGGCTGCTTCAGCGTTTTTCTGCTGCCGTTTGAATATTTTATCAGACAAAGAAACTCATATACGCTCAAACTTTAAAGGAGGAGAGATTTAATGCAAAACCTCAGCAAGATGAAATTTAAAATGACCTCTCCTGGGAGCTGATTTATTTTGTAATTTTTTTCTTCTTTTTAAGGCAACCTTTGATTTAAAAGCAGACTTTGTATTATCTGGTTTTGAGTTATGTAAGTTTTACTTATATTAAAGGATGTAAAGTTTATTTACATGGTGATTTTATCAGATCAGCATCACAAAGTTATTCACATCACAATTAAAACCCAAAGAGATTATAATGAATTTACTTTGCCACTTTTATTTCTGACATGTTTCATCATCATGTAGTTGTTTCGGTCTATCAGTTTTATGTTTGTTTTTGTTTTTATCTCCATTTTTTAAGAACGATCTGCAGACACCGTAAATGTTCTGTATTCAGCTTTGATTAGAGCGTCACCCAGTGGACATAAAGTCAATGTACACTCCATAAAATTCCATAATAAAAGTGATGAAAACACAAAAACAAGCTGAAGATGAGAAAACATTTTTGATGCAAATTAAATTTCTGTTTTTTAAAATAAAGCCTGACACAAAATAACGACTAYATTAGGGTAAAAACATACAGTTTTTCTCACATTTAAATGCTGTTAGAGCAGCACCTTTCTGTCGAATCTGTTTAGTTTGTTCTGGAACCCTCACAGTGTCAGTCTGTTGCTATTTTATTTATTTCCTTTATTTAACCAGGAAAGTCCCATTGAGATTAAAAACCTCTTTTTCAAGGGAGTCCTGGCCAAGAGGCAGCAAAAAAGTATACATTTACATAAAAATTACACAATTAAAACACAAGACAAACAATCACTAATAAAAACATTGACAGTTCAAAGACGTAGTCTCTAATGCCCTCAATCTGGACTTAAAGGTGCTCAATGGGATCAATTCTGTTAACTTCCAGACTTTTTGCAACATGTTCCATGTAGATGGGGCAGAGTAAACAAAGGCCCTTTTCCCAAATTCTGTACGGAGAAATGGAACAGACATCAGACAACAACATTTTGGTTGATTGGTTCTATTTAAAATCTTACTCTGAGAAAGCAGCTCTGCATGATGTTTGGGTCTTTTCATTCCTCTCTGGTTTCTGATAAAAACCTGTGAAAGAAACKTCTGTTCACTTTACATTCAGCTGAGATGCTCGGAGGACACATTCTGACAGCTCACACTGTAGGTAAACAAGTCTACAACTTTACTGTTTAGTTCTTTTTAATATTACAAACTTAAACRTTTAATCATTTAACCCTTTGTAGACATGAAGTTTCTGATCCTTTTGGCTGTTTTAAGTGGTGAGCGACTATTTTTTATCTGTTTTATAGTTTTTAGAGTCCATGTTATAAATTTTGAGCTGGAAAAGACATTTAAATTCACATTTTTTTCTTTAAGCTACTTAAATAATCAAGTTTTTTGTTAATCCRTTGCTTTCAGACTCAGAACAGTATTTATTTTATGAACTACTGCAATCTGYTTTCATACTCAGGGGTCTTTTCTGSCCCTTTCCTAAAAGAAGAGGRGCAGCAAAGAGGTTCATCAGATTGAAGAGGCAGGTGGGTTACTGGGATCCACACAACCCTCACAACATGTGGGGTTACACCATTCAGGAGCAGGTAAGTCATGTTCTGAAATGGTAGACATTAACAACAGAAACATCTAACAGCCTTTTCAAATAGAAAGTTGATGTGTTCTTCAGGCTAACGAGCAGTGGACAGCTCTTCGATCGGGGGCTCAGACATGGACATGGGCAACCTGATGTTTGACCGCTCTGTGGCTGAGTGAGGCTCATTTGTCTTWTTACCATAATTCAACTTAAAATTGTTTTTGATTTACTTGCTTGCAAAAAATACCTTATTAATTAAGTAATTTGGAATCTGTGCTAGCAAAATGAAGGGCAGAATGAGAACCATTTGAATACTGAGTTATTGTCTCCATTTCAGAAGCTTCAAAATGATTCATAGTTTGATTAAATTTGGAAACTTATCAACTGGCTTGGATGGTAACGAGCTAGAAGTGTCAGTTTTCCTTTTTTTTCTCTCAAAAATCTCTACTGGTATAAAAGACAGCTATAGCTAAAACTTCAACAATTATAGTACAGTTTATTTAGTTTGTTATTTCTTCAATCGAGCCACGTCTATGTTATTACATAAATGTTAATTTCTTCTTGAGGCTGYTGATTGTATCCCTCAGTCAGTCCAAAGATTCACTCAACTCTCAGCACAAAAAGTGCCTTTTAAAATGACTTTATAAACATAATTGTTTTATATTTTTTTAGACATACTTCAAAGAATATTTATATTAAATATATTTTGTATCTGGCTGTTTTGCAGTGAAAACAATCGACTTTATATGGAGATGCTGCGCAACGTACAAGCTCGCCTGGACAGCCAGACACGTCGGCACACGTGGAAAACTAAAGAGGTGACATCAGGATGCAGACAGGAATACAAAACAAATCTTAATGGATTATAGAAATTAGTTTGCTGTATATGAAAAGCACACTTCTCATTAAATTCTGCTGTGTCTATGTTGAATTATGTACACCCCAGAAATTTGCAGACTTATTGAAGTTTCTTAAAAAAAACTTTTGCAACTTTTCCGTAAAAAAAACTTTATAATAAAAGGAAAATGTGGATGTTTTTGGATGTTTTTGTTTGTAACTTGATCAGCTGCAGAGTTGGAAAGTGATTTTAAAATAATCACATCAATTACAGTTTTATTCATTTGAACCAACTTTATTAGTATAACAAAGTACTCAGCAGGTCAAAAATTATACTTTTGGAGATTAGGCAATAAAAAGTTGTCATTTCTTTACACCTTGTGTAACTTTGAGCTCTTTATCTGTAGTGAAGCTAAGGAAAGCTAAGAAAAAGATAAATAAATAGAAAATCTGTTCATTCCTGAAATATTTTCAAGTGTTTTTCACACGTGTTTGTGGTGAAAGTGAAGGTTTCTCTGTAATACACTACTATTAGGTCAGAACAGCAAGGAGGTATTTTGTGCTTTGGAAACGTGAGTTATTAGTGTGTGTAAAAGAAAGTGTGTGAGTTAATGACATRAATCAAGTCATTCATTGYGTTTTTGTKTGTTTATTATATAATGGACACRACACGTTGGTTTTTACTTTGATTCTATATTAAAACTTTGTTTCATTTTAGCCTAAATTCYATTTTCTAAATGCTGAATTTGACCTGAATTTCAGTTTGTATCTAAATATCATCTGCTGTTATAACCTTCACTCATATTTCTGCATTTATCCACAATAACAAGTTGTGAAAAGTGTAATTATATTTGTATAAACATRACATTTTGAATAGAGGATCATAAGTCAAATAAGAATAAAAACAAATATTATTGTAACGGATTTGAAGGCGCCTCCTCGCTCGCGGATGGAGGTGGGACTTTCAGGAACATCTGCAGGGCTGGAGTGAAGATGAGGATGGTGCCCAGAATGGCGACGGTAAGGAAAGCCCACAGGAAGATCCGGTCTAACACCTGGGCCACAAACTTCCAGTCTTGGACCACCTAAAGGAAACAGAAGGAAGCCGTAAAAGAAACAGGACRTGTTGTGAAGAAAAGAGCTGCAGACTTTAAAACAGACGCACCTCCCGGATGAAGTGCTCCTTTCGGATATGTCTGCTGATGTAGCGTACTGAATAGATGGCTCTCTCCAACATGGTGGCCCAGGCGTCATCTTCTTTCCCCTCCGATAACGCCGTCCTCTGGCCTCCCCTCCGACCCCCAGCGCGAGGCTTCAGCTCTGGGCTCTCCGGAGCCAGCTCGGGGTAGTGGTACCGGTCCGTGTGTCCTCGCATGCACAGCAGCTGGGGCAGCTTCTGCAGGAAGAGGCTGCGAACCCACGGGGACATGGGGTGGTAGGTGGCCGAGGAGCGGTGGTGCACGTTGATGACGAAAACCGTGACGATGATGGAGAGGGTGACGAAGATCATGATGAAGAGCAGATACTCCCCGATGAGCGGGATCACCTTGGAGGAGGAGGGGATGATCTCTTCGATGACCAGGAGAAACACGGTGAGCGACACCAGGACGGAGGTGGAGAGCGAGAGCTTTTCTCCTTCGTCCGAGGGGAGGTAGAAGACCAGGACCGTCAGAAAGGACAAGCCCAAACAGGGGATGATGAGGAAGAGCGTGTAGAAGAGCGGCAGCCTCTTCAGGATGAAGGAGTAGGTGATGAAGGGGTAGGAGTACAAGCCATCCTTCCTGTTCCCTTTGGCTCCGGTGGCACTGAGGATCTCCCACTCCCCGTTATCAAAGAAGTCCTTCCGGTCCACGTGGTTGTCCATGAGGACCAGGTCCACCATGTTCCCATCGTAGGTCCAGGACCCGAACTTCATGGAGCAGTTCTGCCGGTCGAAGGGGAAAAAGGTAACGTCCATGGTGCAGGCGGATTTGTAACTGGCAGGCGGCGTCCAGGTGATGGCGCCGTTGTATTTCACAATGGCTTTGGTCATCAGGGAGCCTTCGAAGCGCCCGTCAGCGCTGAGGAGTCACAAAGAGTCAGAAATGATCTCATCAGTGTTTCACTTACTTTAATCTTGTCTCATATTTATCAAAACAGCTCAYGCTCCTCCTCAGCAAAACACAGCTCAGGTTCCACAACCTCCTTGTCACGGTAACARTAAGCTGAGTGTTACAGACTCAAACAAGTCCTGTCGACACAGAGTTGTGCGATACCCCTGATGTCTTACACGCAAAGTTTCGCACAACTTCAAAAATCTGAGAAGGRAGGTTGTGGAGGCTTTTCGGCACATTTGGCACGAGCTGTGACAGCTGGGGAGGCTGTGGCTGAGCGGTTAGGGAAGTCATCCYCCAATGAGGGAGTTGGTGGTTAAATTCCACCCTTTTTCAATCCCTGGGCAAGACACTGAACCCTTTACTGCCTCTGATGTGTGTTCCATCAGYGTATGAATGTGACCTAAACCTGATTGGTCTCTTAGAGTTATTTATCTGGATTAGCTTAAAGGCACAGTGTGTAGGATTTTGTCAAGTCTTTTAGCCGAAATTGAGATAATCACTAATGACAATAATAAAAAACATGTCTAATCATTGCA